CCAGCTGCCTGGAGATCATTGACAAGATCCTCACGTGTAGTTTTGGGATGATTCCTTACTGTTCTCATCATTGACACTCCACAAGGTGAGATATTGCATGGTGCACCAGACCTAGGAAGGCTGACAGTTGTTTTGTGTTTCTTCCATTTGCAAATGATTGCACCAACTGTTGTCACCTTCTCACCAAGCTGCTTGGCGATAGTTTGGTAGCCCAGTCCAGCCTTGTGTAGGTCTACAATCTTGTCCCTGACATCCTTGGACAGCTCTTTGGTCTTTGCCATGGTGGAGAGTTTGGAATCTGATTGTTTGATTGCTCCTGTGGACAGGTGTCTTTTATACAGATAACAAAATGAGATTAGCAACACCTCCTTTAAGAGACTGCTTCTAATCTCAACTTGTTACCTGTATGAAAGACACCTGGTAGCCAGAAATCCTGCTGAATGATAGGAGATCAAATGCTTATTTCCCTCATGAATGTACAAATCAGTACATAATTTGTTAAGACATCCATTTCTTTTGAATTTTTGTTGCTATTCTGTCTCTCAGTGTTACAATACACCTACCATTTGATTTTTAGACTGATCAATTCTTTGTGAGTGGGCAAACATTCAAAATCAGCAGGGGATCAAATACTTATTTCCTTCACTGTATATAAATACATACATACACACACTCTGGCTATAGAAAAGAATCACCCCCTTTGCAGCCTGAAATTAAAACAGACACAGTATTTAGTTCTATCCAGCTGTATTTACTCAGTGCAACTTATAACATCCAAGTAAAAGATGTAACAGCAACATATCAGAACAAAATAAAAATAAAAACAGAATCAGTGAGTTGGAGAAAGGATCACTCTCTTGTGTATTTTGGTAAACCACCTTTTGCTTTAGTTACAGCCTGTAGTCTGTTGGGATATTTATACGAACATTGCACATCTAGAATTTGCAAAATATGCCCACACGTCTTTGCAGAACTGCTCAAGTTTAGTGAAATTTGATTGTGACCATTTGTGGACTGCAGTTTAATGTATTCCACAGATCTTTAATGGGGTTTAAGTCTGGGCTCTGACTAGGCCATGCAAGGACATTCACCTTTTTCTCCTTCAACCACTGTGTGGTCATTTTTTGCTGCATGCTTTGGGTCATTGTCATGTTGGAAGGTAAACCTTCTTCCCATTGACAACTTTCCGGCAAAGGGCAGCAGGTTTTCCTAAAGATTTGGATGGTATTTTGCCCCATCCATTTTTTTTTCTAACCTGACAAAATTTCCAGTTCCTTACTGTAGGAATGGTGTTATTTGGATGGTGAGCTGTATTAAATTTCAGCCAAACATACCGTTTAGTGTTGAGGCCAAATAATTCAATTTTAATCTCATATGACCATAACTGCGGCCTCAGAAACTTCAGGCTGCGTTTTGGTAAAGCTCAGTCATGACTGCATGTGGCCTTTCTTAAGGAGTGGCTTTTTCTTGCAACCCTCCCATATAAGCCACATTTGTGGAGAATCTGTAATATTGTTGTCACATGCACACAATGACCACTGTCAAATTTCCTGCAACTGCTCCATCATTGCTGTAGGCCTCTTGACAGCCTCTTTGACCAGTTTCCTTCTGGCTCTTTCATCCAGTTTGAAAAGAGTGACGTCCTGATCGAGAGAGGGTCTGTGTTGTACCAAATACCTTCCACTTCTTAATAACAAACTTCACTGTGTTTCCAGGCATTGATAACGCCTTTGAAATTATTTTGGATTCATCTTGTGACTTGTGCTTGTCCAGAACTTTACCTCAGAGATCTTCTGACGGTGCCTTCCCACCCACAGTTGATCGTTTGCTTCATCTTTTCATGCTGAGCTAATCAAAATGACCACAGCTGATCACAGTTGAAAGTCAAATGGCTTTGTGTGCCATTGAGAAGGTGGAGTTACACCTGATGGAGTTTCCAAGTCATTTTCAGGAGGGGGTGATCCTTTTTCCAACTCAGGTTATTCTGTTTTTGAGTCTTTTTTAATTTTGTATGATATGTTGGTGTTATAGCTTTCATTTGAGTGTTTATAAGTTGCACTGAGTAAATACAGCTGGATAAAACAAAAATGGTGTGTCTTCATTTCAGGCTGCAAAGCAACAAAATTTAATTATTTTAAAAGGGGTGATTATTTTCTATACTCCCTGCAAAAACACACACAGTATATACATACATTCAACAAAAGTTATTTTACATTATTGGATATATACACTGCTCAAAAAAATTAAAGGAACACTTTTTAATCAGAGTATAGCATCAAGTCAATTAAACTACTGGGATATTGATCTGGTCAGTTAAGTAGCAGAGGGGGTTGTTAATCAGTTTCAGCTGCTTTGGTGTTAATGAAATTAATAACAGGTGCAGTACATGGACAACAATGAGACGATCTCCAAAACAGGAATGGTTTTTCAGGTGGAGGCCACTGACAATGTTTTCCCTACTCATCTTTTCTGACTGTTTTTCACTAGTTTTGCATTTGGCCAGGTCAGTGTCACTACAACCAGCATGAGGCAATACCTGGACCCTACAGAGGTTGCACAGGCAGTCCAACTCCTCCAGGATGGCACATCAATATGTGCAATTGCCAGAAGGATTGCGGTGTCTCCCAGCATAGACTCGAGCATGGAGGAGATTCCAGGAGACAGGCAGTTACTCTAAAAGAGCTAGACAGGGTCGTAGAATGTCCTTAACCCATCAGCAGGACCAGTATTGGCTCCTTTGTGCAAGGAGAACAGGATGACACTGGCAGAGCCCTACAAAATGACCTCCAGCAGGCCACTGGTGTGAATGTTTCTGACCAATTAGAAACAGACTTTACGAGGGTGGTCTGAGGGCCCGATGTCCTCTAGAGGGCCCTGTGCTCACTGCCCAGCACCATAGAGCTTGATTGGCATTTGCCATTGAACAGAATTGGCAGGTCCGCCACTGGTCCCTATGCTTTTCACAGATGAGAGCAGGTTCACCCTGAGCACGTGACAGAGGTGAAAGGGTCTGGAGAAGCCATGAAGAACGTTATGCTGCTTGTAACATAGTTCACCGTGACCATTTTGGTGGTGGGTCAGTGATGGTCTGGTGAGGCATATCCATGGAGGGATGCACAAACCTGTACAGGCTAGACAATAACCCCCCAACTGCCATCAGGTATTGGGATGAAATCCTTGGACCCATTGTCAGACCCTACGTTGGTGCAGTGGGTCTTGGGTTCCTCCTGTGCACAACAATGCCCGGCTTCATGAGACGAGTATGCAGGCAGCTTCTGGAGGATGAAGGAATTGATACCATTGAATAGCCCTCACACTTGTTTGACCTAAATCCAATAGAACACCTCTGGGATATCATGTTTCGGTCCATCTGATGCCGCCAGGTTGCACCTCAGACTGTCCAGGAGCTTAATGATGCCCTGGTCCAGATCTGGAATAAAACACCCTAGGACATCCGTTGTCTCATTAGGAGCATGATCCGACGTTGTCAGGCATTCATATAAGCACGTGGGAGCCATACAAATTACTGAGTACCAGTACAGTTTTGAGCTGCTGCAATGAAATTTCAGCAAAATGGACTAGCCTGCTGCATCATTTTTTCACTTTGATCTTCGGGGAGTCTTTGAATTCAGTCCTCTGTAGGTTGATAATTTTTATTTCCATCAAACAATGGGACATACGTACATTCCTAACACATTACCAGTATAGATATCCAGCATGATATTTTCCTCATTGAGCTCTGATGTGTTTTCAAAGTGTTCCTTTAAATTTTTTGAGTAGAGTATAAAAAATTTTTTTTTTTGTTGAAAACCTGTTGGTTTCAGTTTTTGGCCAGATACATCCTGAATTTCCAGTTTCAGTCCAGAATTTTCATTTTCCCTATGTGTATTACCTGTACTGTTAGGTTCTCTTTAAAATGCCTACTGACCTGCCAGTGTTGTTCTGCTGTGATCTGCTGCTCAGAGGACATAGCTTGGGTGCATAAAACTATTTTTGATCCTCCATACGGATGGGGGCTGGCTGCCTCTTCTGGAATCAACCAGCCCTGATGAAGTACACAGGGCCCACTCTCTGGCTGTTCTGTATTGCAGGTCTTGCAGCTTCCTAAAAGATGTGATATGATACACCGAGGGGCTGAAGGACCAAGGGCGCTTCATTGTTTCCTAGGCGGCAGGGGAGCAGGCTGGATCATTTTTTTTAAATCCACTGTTTCTTTTTGCTTAGGGGGTTAGGGTTGAAAAGTAACAAACTCCTTTTGGGGAGGGAAGGTCAGCATTAATCATTTGCTTCTGCGAGATTTAAAACCCTACTCCTGTCAAAACCCTTTACTTTTTTGGATAGAGCCAGGAAAGCTTTGACATGTACCACAGATGGCATATACTATTTAACATGTAATCATTAAAAAAAACTCTTCAGAAGGGTAAACCACTTTTAAAAATATAAATAATGACAAACAAACAATGATGAAAAAAGTTTTAAGTGTTTTTAAGCTGAACGTTGTCATTTTGGCTATAGGTTAATTCAAGGAGTTTTTGAATAAAGTTGAGTGTTGTTCAAAAGCAGTTAAATAAATCCTTAAACCTCCTTTTATTACGGTTTCCCACTAAAGAAATAAGAACCTGAGAGAAATGTTAACTCTACCCCACTCCTCTCCCCCCCCCCAAAAAAAAAAAAAAAAGCAATAATGGTGAATAAAACGTGTTTATAGCCCAGTTCAAAAGTATATCAGAATATAAGTTAATATTTTTGCATTTTTTGTTTTGCACAGAATTACAATAAGTTTTTAACAGGGCAGATAAAAAAAAAAAACAGTCATTTATAGGTAAACTAGCAATTTAGAGAAAACTGGACTTAAGATATACATATAACTTACATATAACTTTGGACTTAAAAAAATACACATTTTAAACTATGGTTTGAACTGTACAAGGAAAAAAAAAATCCAGAGGAACACTTTTTCTGCGTAGTTTTCCCAGTCCGTACATTAGGAGCTAGCATGCCTAGTCATTCTTATCGTGTTCCAAAATCTTATATGGTGGAGAGGATGATGGTGCTTCTTCTGTTACAACAGGAAGTGTTGCAGGCATGTAAATTTCTGATAAACTATCATTACTTTGAAGAGCTCCATAAGAGAAGGAATTCCCAAAATCAGGCTGAATAGTACTGCCATGATCATGCATGTTAACCACACCTGCAAACAAACACAACAGATTTTTTTTTTTTTTGGAAGATAACCGATTTAGTATAAACTTCATATCATGAGGATAATTGTAATCATAGAAGCAATTCATATACTGCATACCCAGCCTAGTACAGACTTTTTTTTTTTTTTTTTAACAACTAATAGATAATTTAACAATGCTAGTGATGCATTTGCTTTATATATAGCTTTGTATACATTTGCCCAGTTTTTGTATACACTTTTGTTGAGAACACCACATGTGCTAAAGGCACAGGGCAGCCCTGAATGTCTGACAAGAGCATCAGTTTTTTTTTTTTTACACTTATAAAACAGATATAACAAAATGCATTCAAAAGGTGTATAAAAAAACCCCCAAAATGGAGCAAATGAGAGAGGCATATTGTTTGGGTTTACATACACAATAGGTCTCCCTATTGTTTGTGGTGCTACCCTTAGTGTAGTGTCAACATATGCCACAGAAATATATAATCTTGGGTAAAAAAAATGCAAGTATTAATCCAGGACACGAGAAACCAATAATGAAGCTACTAAAATTAGACAGTAAACACTGAAACAATAATCTAAAAAGGAAAATCCAGAGAAAGCCAAACCAGGTCACTAGAAAAAAACATCCTGAGGCCTGATCTATGTAACCTCAAATTCCTCTGCTTTCTATATTACAAAACACATTGCTGTAGCCAATGTTGTTTTAAATTGGTTTCATGGCAGCAAAACACTTATTACAGATATTTTTATTTATAGAAGGCTTTCTGTATATGAGAGACAAGTAACCTGTAATGGGCATGTCTGGGAATTGCTCTTCTGCATCACAAACTGAAGTTCTCAGATTACCGCATTACAGATACACAGGACTTGGGTAGATTGGCACACAACAGACAATGCTTGGATGAAAAATTTAGGCACCAAGATAAACCAAGCTCCCGGTGTGATTTTCAAAATTTACTCAATTTGTATCACAAAAGGCACAATAGTGCCAATGGTTAGAGAGTTCAGCTTTGGGAATATGCAATTTGCAGGAAAATAGAGAAATAAGATATGAAGAGCATATTCTTATTTTGTACAATATACCAGCCATTGGATTTTAAAACACAGAACATCTGTCTGTCAACTTTTTTACTACTTGAAATCTGTGAGCAGGCAGGCTTTGTATTGCAGATGACACAAGTAATGTCTCTTCTGCAACAAAAGAAAACTACCTGCCTTTCAGTATTCTTTGGAATGTACACCAAGTTGTACAAGTGTAGCTCAGTTTACATTCTGGCACAGCTCCTGTATGTGGGATAATTGCATTTCTGTGCACGCACAGGAGTGACTTCATCCTGCACTGGCCAATAAGAACAGCTACAGCCCAGCACCCAGGAGAAGATGGTTACAAAACGCCAGTGAGGGACATAAAACCATTGAAGAGAGGTAACTATCATGGATTTTCCACGGATCCCTGAAGTGGTAATGCATGCTCTTGCTGTTTGTTTGTGCCATCTCCAGTATCTGTATTGCCCTAAAACACTTAGGATTGAAGCAAATCAAAACTAAATGGCTAAACCAGTATAGCAAACTAATTTAAAGTGGCTATTAACCCCTTGGCGCCGGTGCCTCCCAGCTCTTTAAGGGTTTCAGAAGTCGGGAGGCGGGTTGGGGCTTTAGGGACATGTGACCGCCGTGATTCACTGTCACATGATCGGGAAAGGTCCCGATCACAAGAGGAAATCAGGACCTTTCCGTGAGTACCGGAAATGTGTGCTGGGAGAGAGCAGGGCATGCACCCTCAGCACATATGTTTTTTTAATTGCATGCAAATGTGCAGCCGCTTGGTGTCGAGGCCCAGACGCTGAGCGGTACCCGAACATTTGCGTGCACTCGGTGTGAAGAGGTTAAAGAAAAAGTTTTTTTACCATAACACATTTTCTACATTAAGGTAAAAAACACTCTTAGCTCAGTCGTCTCTCTGTCAAGCACTAATAGGATTTGATGGCAGCGAGAGCCATTGGCGCTACGGTTAAATCAAATACTCTAAAAAGGGAGCAGGGGCAGGGCCAAGCCACGCTGTGTGTGCCTACGGATGTGCACAACTCGGCTTGCAAGTGGGCTTACACGAGTGTCCCTGTAACAAGCAGTTTGCTATGGGAGCACTTGGAAAGATAAGGAGTGGATAGTGCTCATGGGGAACTCCAGAGGATGGGGTAAAAAAACCATTGTACAGAGCAAGTAAGTATAACATCTTTTTTAATTTAAGGAAAAAAAATGCTTTACAACCGCTTAAATCCGTTTTAGTTTACCTGGCATGGAGTTAATGGCAACATAGGGTTCAAAAGGTTTTGTCTTTTTTCTGCTCCTTGTTATGAAAAACACACCCATAAAGGCAATAAGGCACCTTGGGAAATGAGAGATTTTTATTAGATAAACTAGAACACCACAAACTAAAACTAAATACATTTTACCAAAGAATGCAGTTTAAGCACTGTGTAAAGGTGTAAAAGACTACAGAGCATTTAGCATTTTCATAGCTATAGCTCATCAGCAGTAGTATTCTAGGAGAAAAATGTTAAACGAGTTTACATATTCTCAAAAAGCAGTAGATGAACTTGAAAACGAGCCATCACTGATCTCTGTAGCTACAGGCACTGAAACAATTCATCATTAAAGTTCAGAGCAGAAGCACTCAAGTCCTCACAGCAGCTCACTCTGCTCCCCCAGAGCACCTGCTCTGAATTTGTATTGAAGATTTGTAGGCTGGAAAGATGCTGAGTCACTACTGGTAAGGAAGGGGGTGTAAAAGCAAGGTGAGCTGTGCTGGTTTAAAGCATGCCATTAGTGCTTCTAATGTGAACTTTGATGATTAGTTACTATGGCCGCAGCTAGAGAGGCCAGTGAAAGCTTGCTGTACAGCTTATTTACAGAATAATAATAATTTAATGTCTGTAGCTTAGCTACTGTCACAGATTAAACTTTTCAAAGACATTCTAAAAGTTATCTTTTAACCGCTTGCCCTCCAGAGGATTTACCCTCCTTCCTGACCAGGCCATTTTTTCTGTTACTGCTCTGCGGTACTTTAAACGGACAATTGTGCGGCTATGCACCCAAATAAAATTTACGTCCTTTTTTTCCCCACGAATAGAGATTTCTTTCGATGGTATTTGATCGCCTGTGCATTTTTTATTTTTTGCACTATAAAAATAAATAAAAAAAAAAAAAAAACAACAAGGACCGGACAGTTTTGAGGAAAAAAAAACAAAAACTTTTTGCTATTAAACGTCCAGAAAAAAAAAAAAGAAGAAGGAAAAAAAAAAAAAAAAAAAAATCAACTTTTGTCATAAATTTAGGCCAAAATGTATTCTGCTTCATGTCTTTGCTAAAAAAAAAAAAAAATCCCAATACGTGCAAATTAAATTGGTTTACGTGAAAGTTATAGCGTTTACAGATGTTGGTATATACAGTGGGGCAAAAAAGTATTTAGTCAGCCACCAATTGTGCAAGTTCTCCCACTTAAAAAGATGAGAGAGGCCTGTAATTGGCATCATAGGTAGACCTTAACTATGAGAGACAAAACGAGAAACAAAATCCAGACAATCACATTGGCTGATTTGGAAAGAATTTATTTGCAAATTATGGTGGAAAATAAGTATTTAATCAATATCAAAAGTTCTTCTCAATACTTTGTTATATATCCTTTGTTGGCAATGACAGAGGTCAAACGTTTCCTGTAAGTCTTCACAAGGTTGGCACACACTGTTGCTGGTATGTTGGCCCATTCCTCCATGCAGATCTCCTCTAGAACAGTGATGTTTTGGGGCTGTCGCTGGGCAACACAGACTTTCAACTCCCTCCAAAGGTTTTCTATGGGGTTGAGATCTGGAGACTGGCTAGGCCACTCCAGGACCTTGAAATGCTTCTTACGAAGCCACTCCTTCGTTGCCCGGGCGGTATGTTTAGGATCATTGTCATGTTGGAAGACCCAGCCACGTTTCATCTTCAATGCCCTTGCTGATGGAAGGAGGTTTGCACTCAAAATCTCACGATACATGGCCCCATTCATTCTGTCCTGTACATGGATCAGTCATCCTGGTCCCTTTGCGGAGAAACAGCCTCAAAGCATGATGTTGCCACCCCCATGCTTCACAGTAGGTATGGTGTTCTTTGGATGCAACTCAGCATTCTCTCTCCTCCAAACACGACGAGTTGTGTTTCTACCAAACAGTTCTATTTTGGTTTCATCTGACCATATGACATTCTCCCAGTCCTCTTCTGGATCATCCAAATGCTCTCTAGCAAACTTCAGACGGGCCCGGACATGTACTGGCTTAAGCAGGGAGACACGTCTGGCACTGCAGGATCTGAGTCCCTGGCGGCGTAGTGTGTTACTGATGGTAGCCTTTGTTACGTTGGTCCCAGCTCTCTGCAGGTCCTTCACTAGGTCCCCCCGTGTGGTTCTGGGATTTTTTCTCACCGTTCTTGTGATTATTTTGACCCCACAGGGTGAGATCTTGCGTGGAGCCCCAGATCGAGGGGGATTATCAGTGGTCTTGTATGTCTTCCATTTTCTAATTATTGCTCCCACAGTTGATTTGTTCACACCAAGCTGCTTGCCTATTGCAGATTCAGTCTTCCCAGCCTGGTGCAGGTCTACAATTTTGTTTCTGGTGTCCTTCGACAGCTCTTTGGTCTTCACCATAGTGGAGTTTGGAGTGTGACTGTTTGAGGTTGTGGGCAGGTGTCTTTTATACTGATAACAAGTTCAAACAGGTGCCATTGATACAGGTAATGAGTGCAGGACAGAGGAGCCTCTTAAAGAAGAAGGTACAGGTCTGTGAGAGCCAGAAATCTTGCTTGTTTGTAGGTGACCAAATACTTATTTTCCACCATAATTTGCAAATAAATTCTTCCAAATCAGCCAATGTGATTGTCTGGATTTTTTTTCTCATTTTGTCTCTCATAGTTGAGGTCTACCTATGATGCCAATTACAGGCCTCTCTCATCTTTTTAAGTGGGAGAACTTGCACAATTGGTGGCTGACTAAATACTTTTTTGCCCCACTGCATACTGGGATATTATTTTTTTTTACTATTATTGGCGGCGATCAGCGACTTGACACTGGGGGGAACTCACTTGGTGTTACTGGCATCCCCAGTGACACCAATACAGTGATCAGTGCTAATAAAAAGCACTGACACTGTACTAATGGCAATGGGCAAAAAGGTTTTAACATGTGAGGCTGTGTGCTGTTTTACTTGGGGCTGTGTCTGTGTGCTTCACTGTAAGCACACTGCTTTGCATTCCTGTGCACAGCCATGCACAGTAGTGTGCAGAAGCTGACAGGGAAGAGAACTGTTTTGTTTACAAACTGTTGTCTCAAACCCCTCCACCCCCTGGCAGAGATGCTCGGCATTCACAGGGCGCCGGCGAGTAATCACCGGCTTGGTCCCGGTGATTGACAGCTGCGGCGCAAATGGTGGCACGGGTAAGGCATGCGCATCCCTTGCGCAGAAATGCAAAATCTCGTATATATACACGTGATTTTGCGCACCTGTGCCGCCCTGGAATAGTACTTCTGCTACGGGGCGGATGGGAAGTGATTAAATAATAACAGAGCATACAATACCAAGGGAAGGAAATGTTTTACTTTAGGCTGGGTGCACATGGGTGAATTTTGCTATTACAGTCATTGCCCTTGATCTCCCTTTCATTACTAGTGACACACATAGGTAACAGTAAAAAAAGCGTACTATACAGTAGCACAATGATCTCAATTTGGACAATGAATAGCTACTACAATCAACTTGTTGTGTAGCAATTGTACATGTTCACTCACAATCATTCTTAAAGCAAACTTCACCACTGCGCGTTAGCCCTTATTGCTCACAGAATGTAACTAGTAAATCAAGCAAGAAGGAGAAAAGCAGATGACAGCAGCACCCTTTGTAGTTTATCTAGCAATGGCTAACACTGATACAATAATACAATGCACTTCAATATGAAGTAGTAACATGATTCCATAAACTGAATGAACCAATTTAAAAAGGACTAGTGTGTCTTTATATTACAGGCAGGTGCATGCTCTGACATTTGTGCCTACAACCTCATAAGTTAAACTAAAAGACTACCCAGTTTCAAGACGGTCCATTTTTGTACTTACCCTAAAGCAAACATACAAAGATGTAGAGCATCTTCATTTCGAAAGTCAATGTAAAATACCGCTCCTAAAATGTAAACCATTAAATATTAGTACAACTGCAAAGAGTTAAACAAAGCTCCGAATAAGCAGATGGCTATAGGTATGCTATCATTTTTCATGGCAGGTACACAGTATCAAGGCAATTAATGGCAAAATAAATGTTTAGAAATCTGTATTTATTTTTCCACACAAAGCCAATTTCTTGCTTTTTAAAGAAATATAAATATTGAATTAATGGCATAACTTGCATGCAAAGAGTATGTGCCTTAGATAAAGCTGACATTTACTTTGTCAGAAAATCTTTGGCGAGTGAACAGCAGCTTTGTAACCTCTACTTTTGCTCCCACAACACGCTGTGCTTAATTGTATTAAATTAGAACAGTCATGAAATATAACCAACTATCCTTTAGCCAAATGAAAAAGTAAAAGAAAATAAATAAGAAATTTAAGCAGTTAAAAGGGTCTCAGCTTTAGTTAAAATGGTTTACTTTTCTCTGTAGCCAGTTCTTTACCTGGAACTGCCCTCCTAGGATTTACTCTAAAGGTTGAAGTTTTCAGACTGGATTATTGCACCTCTGCCTACTAAAACATTCTAACCTGTCTCTGCACCCTAAAACTGGCAACATTTTTGGCTCATCCTATTACAATGCAAAAATAGGATATGGTTTCAGCTGCCTGTATTGTGTCTGCTGCTGTTTTGCATATTCTCTATCATTTGAGCTTGATTAAAGCAAACCTATACAGACTATTAATTTGTTAGGGAAGCCTGAAGTTAGCATCCTAAGGTGTCAGTGCCTACCTGCACAGCATTGCCTGCTGCTCAGGGCCTTAAGCCAAGTACACGTGGGCCAAATGTCGGGCGACATTGGCCAGTTCAACAGAAGCCGGCCGACATTCGGCCTGTGTGTCGGGCTGCCGGTCCAACAAAATCTGTCGAAGGGGCATGACCGAACAAGGTCTACCAATGGCGGAGAGCGCTAACTAGAGTGTTCTGGTGGGGGGAGCACAATAGCACAGCGGGGGAGATCTCTGTACTAACATCGGATAGTTAGTACAGCAGCTACTCCTGAGCTGTCAGGTTTTTTTCGTTCAGCCTGCTGGGTTGAATGAAAACACAAAAACAAAAAAAAACAAACAAATAATCTAGAAGTGTGTACTAGGCTTTAAAGAGACCCTGTCTCCTTCCCAAAAGATATTTACATTTAACTTTTTTTTTGTATGTTATCAACCGGTAAAAGACTTGCTTGTGTAGACATCCCAAAGTTTCTGAACACATATATACACCATACTGAACTTATCTTACCTGCAGATATAGCTAAGCTTGTAGACAAGATATAATTAATGCTTGCAATTAAGGCAGAATCATAAAGCTGGAATGCCTGTGCCAAAAACCTATATACAAAAACAAAAGGTTCCATTAATTTGTTATTTTAAAAATTCAAAACCTTCTTGCCATGGACAACAATAGATTGTACAATGTGTGGGATTGTAGAGCTATAATAGCAAAGGTCACATCCTAAAGTGGACTTGAGCTCAAAAGTGAAGATTTGCCCTGTTAAAGGGATCATCCAGAAATGTTAATTGTACCTAAAGCTGGCCATACATTATAGAATTTTTTATTTATTTTCCTTTAGCTTTACCTTCAACTATATAGTGCAAAGGCTTGCCTGATTGCATACAAATTGAAAGTGTTTAGGTCTGACCTCATTGTATACGAGTCTGGTAAATCTAAAGGGACATTGTACAAGAAGAATTTATATTGTATGGCCAGCCTTAGTCAGGGCTACCATTTGTCTGGAATTCCTCCTGAAAAATTGCATTGCACTTCCTGGTATGTGAGTGTGCCTAGGCAATCTTATGCTTACACCCTCATAGCTTTATATCTAAGGTGTGAGATTAAAGGCATTACTACCTAGGACTGCTTGCTTCAGTTGACTTGGTGATGTTACTAATGTGCTGCTAACTATTCTCCTTGATGGAGGCTTCAGGAAGTAAAACCCTGCCTTTCATGGTAATTTAGTAATGGGGAAAAGGTCAGCTGGCAATAATGGTGATTGGTCCTCCATATCTGTTGTGGCACATCTTTCACAGTTTAGTTCTTCTTTAAGACATGACAGTTACATTTTGTCATGTCATGCTTGGCAGTCACCAATGAAGTTTTAGCTGTGTATTACACTTTAAAGCTTCAATTATTCCACTCCACTTTCTTATCAACAGTACAAAGTTTAGCAGGTTCTATAATTCTTTAACTTCTTTTCCAGAAATAGTGTCTGTTGAACTGCTATTGATATTTGTAGCTAAAGTTGTGCCACATATACACTAAATGTAAAGGTGTTATGGATGTGGAATAGCCCATGCCTTGCTATAATTTAATTGAAGTATTCCAAATTAACCACTTCCCTTCCAGCCCATGTAGATAAACGGCCAGACGGGAGCACTGCCGAAGCGGAAAATGTTTGTAAAAGTCACCCGCGTTCACTGCCTGTGCGTGCTCCTTGGGATGATCGGTGCCCGCTGTGTCCGGAGGAACACCGATCGCTGTACAGGACTGTGTGAGGTCCCAATTCATGTGATCACTGATTGGCCAATCAGTAATCACATGAATAGTAGTAAACAAGATGTCACTTCCTGACATCATTGCTTTCTACTTGTGAAATCTGTGAATGATCAGAGAGGTCACATGGTACAAGGCTATTCACAACAGCCTTGTACCATGTGACAAGCTGTGACCAGTCACAGTTCTCACATTATTTCTCAATGGCTGCAAGAATGCAGCCAGAGAGAAGGAGAAATTATTGCTTTTTACAGCCTTTATAGGTGTAAAAGCAATCAGTGTAAAAAAAAATAAAAAATCAGCACCCCCCGCAAGTAGTACAGTGTCACTATGGTGAGACTGTACTGCTAGGGTGACAGTATGTAAAAAAAAAAAAACATAATTTTTTTCTAAATTTTCTAAAAAAAAAATTTTATATTATAATTTTTGGTTAGAGGGGATTGTAGCCGTATTAGTGCACTTGCGACAGAAACAATTTAGTACTGTCTGTGATACTTTTTTTTATTTGCACTAACATACAATTTTGAGGACAAGCTTTCGGGGAGTATCCCCTTCTTCAGGTCTAAGCAGTACTGTTACAAAGTTTTAGCAACTTTTGAACTAAGAATTCTATTTGACACAAGAGATAACAGCCTTAATTTGGACATGGGACTCCTCACTCATTATCCAACATATTTATGACTCCCTCTGTGAGTGCTGTTCCCACCCCCCCCAGTCTTTGCTTTTGCTTTGTTGTTCTTAGCACTAGGCTAACCTTAGGCTTGTGTTTCTTTCTGCCTTTTTTTTTTTCTTTTTTTCTTCTTCTTCTCAATCCCCACATATCTTCTAACATTCTGCTAAAACTTTGTAACAGTACTGCTTGGACCTTGAAGAAGGGGACACTCCCCAAAAGCTTGTCCTCAAAATTGTATGTTAGTGCAAATAAAAAAAGTATCATGGACAGTACTGAATAATTTTTGGTTACAAACTAAATTTTTTTTTTTTTTTTTTTTTAACTAAAAAGATATCTGAATACACTGTGACCAAGATTTATGAAGAAAGATTTATTTGCAAAATTTTATAAAAAAAACACTTTTTATTTCAAAATGTTTGGACTTTTTCATTTATATAGCAAAAAACTAAAAATCCCAGTGGTGAATAAATACCACCAAAATAAAGTTTTATCTGTTTCAAAAAAAATGCTAAAAAATTCATACGGGTACAGTGTTGCATGACCGTGCAATTGTCAAAGTGTGATAGCACGGAAAGCTGCAAATTGGCCTGGACTGTAAGGGGGTGAAAGTGTCCGGACTTGAAGTGGCTAAATATCTAAAAGGATGCCGAGGAAAGAAATTGTCTTTTTCATACAATTTAAATCAAATAATGAATGTACTATTATTTTTGTACAATTATAACACTGAAGAAGCATCCAAAAAGAATATATAAATTTCTTACAAGGAAATTCTTCTTAAATTAACAGTTTGACACAGAAAAAAAATGCAGAATTAAATGAAATAGTTACATACTAGTATTTAGAAAATATGTCTTGTGTGGGTGTCTACTTACGATGCTTGAGCAATGGCTGTAGCCACCATACACACAAACATGATGTAGAAGATGGGGTACCCCAGCTGCATGCTGCCTTGTATAGAGACCATGATCATACCAGCCAGTGCTTTCACTGTGACCACTGTTGTAGAGCCTATAAACATTGTAGTGTAATAAAAAAAAAAAAAAACACCAAAAATTACATTTCTAAGGAAAATGGGAATTAAAAAACAAATCCAATGTTATCATTTTTTTCCCTAGGTTTTACATTTTTTCTTCTCTCTTACTTTATCCATAATAAAATTTTAGGATAACCTTTTCAGGTTTGAAGAGGAGAGTCCTTGGATACCATTTACCTGCAACCTGTCTAGATGCTACAAATGCTTGGTACACACACACAAAGATTTTGTGTAAAGTGGTATAGCATCTTTTCTGTTTATAAAGAAGTGAGCTTCACACATACACTGGATATAAAAAGTCTACACACCCCTGTTAAAATGTCATGTTTCTGTGATGTAAACCTATAAACTGTACAACTCAGTTGAACAACAAACTGAAATATTTTAGGTGGAGGGAAGTAAAAATAAAAAACTAACATAATATGATTTCATAAGTGTGCACACCCTTAAACTATTACTTTGTTGAAGCACCTTTTGATTTGATTCCAGCACTCAGTCTTTCTGGGTATGAGTCTACTAGAATGGCACATCTTGACTTGGCAATATTTGCCCACTCTTCCTTGCAAAAACACTCCAAATCTGTCACTGTGAGGGCATCTCCTGTGCACAGCCCTCTTCAGATTACCCCAAAGATTTTCAATCGGATTCAAATCTGGGCTCTGGCTGGGCCATTCCAAAAAACTTTAATCTTCTGGTGAAGCCATTCCTTTGTTGATTTGGATGTATGCTTTGGGTCGTTGTCATGCTGAAAGATGAAGTTCCTCTTCATGTTCAGCTTTCTAGCAGAAGCCTGAAGGTTTTGTGCCAATATTGACTGTTATTTGGATCTGTTCAGAATTCCCTCTACCTTGACGAAGGCCCCAGTTCCAGCTGAAGAAAAACAGCCCCAAAGCATGATGCTGCCACCACCATGCTTCACTGTGGGTATGGTATACTTTTGGTGATGTGCAGTGTTGTTTTTGCACCAAACATATCTTTTGGAAATATGGCCACAAAGTTCAACCTTGGTCTCAGCAGACCATAACACCTTTTCCCCACATGCTTTTGGGAGACTTCAAAATGTTTTCTGCAAAATTTAGCCAGGCTAAATTAAAAAAGGCTTCAGTCTTGCTACTCTACCCCATAGCCCAGACATATGAAGAATACGGGAAATTGTTGTCACATGTACCACACAGCCAGTACTTGCCAGATATTCCTGCAGCTCCTTTAATGTTGCTGTAGGCCTCTTGGCAGCCTCCCAGACCAGTTTTCTTCTCGTCTTTTCATCAACTTTGGAGGGGCGTCCAGTTCTTGGTAATGTCAGTGCTGCGCCATATTTTCTCCACTTGATGATGCCGGTCTTCACTGTGTTCCATGGTATATCTAATGCCTTGGAAATTCTTTTGTACCCTTCTCCTTTTGCCTGATACCTTTTAACAATGAGATCCCTCTGATGCTTTGGATTCTTTCTGAGGACCATGGCGTTTGCTGTAGGATGCGACTAAGAAAATGTCAGAAAAGACCTACTAGAACAGCTGAACTTTATTTGGGGTTAATCAGAGGCAGTTTAAATGCAGACGTGTGTACGGACTTCTATTTAACATGATTTTGAATGCGATTGCTTAATTCTGAACACAGCTACATCCCCAGTTATAAGAGGGTGTGCACACTTATGCAACCACATTGTTTTTCAATTGAGTTGTACAGTTTATAGGTCACATTAAAAGGAGGAAAATTATTTATCTTTGTCTTTTTTTTACATCACAGAAACCTGACATTTTAACAGGGGTTTGTAGACTTTATATCCACTGTATATGATGATATTTGTTGAAGTGGCATACTTAGCTATATAAGGGGTGGATACCACCTGAGGCCATAGGGTCCAGTATAGACACTCCATTCTTAGCTTTCCATTTACCTTGCCTCCATTAATGCTGCCTGAGGCAGTCGACTCAGTTGGCCTCATGGGTGGCATGGCCTTTGGTGTACTGTCAGGTTACTTTCAAACTGCCCAGTTGCAGAAATGTGGTAAAAATAGGTGCACGTTTTTGCTGTTTCTGATGCATTTTTCACCTGCCATGTGACTTAAAAAAATGCGCCAAAAGGCCAACCGAGGGTACTTTTTTGCCACACTGTTTGTGAGTTTACATTCATTTCAATGGGGAGATTAATTTTTGATGCTTTTTCCAATTCAATGGGGAGGCGTGTTTTTGGTGTGGTACATGCACCAAAAAATGCAACAAGCAGGACTTTGAAAAACGCAACGCACCCACAACTGACCAGTGTGAAGAGTTTTGTGGGAATTGTCATGTGATTTTCTTCCACTTTACTTAAAACAAAAAAAAAAAAAAAAAGGGAAGAAAAACAAATCAGTATGAAAACTGCCTAAATATACCATTTTTTTTTTTAAATGTTAGTGATCATTTACTGTATGGATGTAAATATTTAAAAAAATTAATTATAACATGTAATTTCATGCTGTGGCACTTTTTATACACTTTATGATTTATTTAAAATTATAAGGATCCCTCTGCACATAGTATTTTTTATGCATATTCAGAATTATTAATCAAAATGATAATGGTATTCTTTAGCACTCTAATTTATAAACCAATGCAAATTTTCATTTCTTCAAACACAGTGCATGCATCATAATTCTTCAAATAAAGCAGACTAAACAGCTATCTGCTAAAATTATATCATAATATTTAATGTGTAGTCTAGGAATCCAAGATGCATAGGGCTTGGTAAAAAAGGTGATGAGATGCCCAACTCTGGAATTGTACTTTTAGTGCAGAAGCTAGTGTGGTATAACATAATTCTATAGGCTTATAGCAGGGAGCACAGGAACTAAAGGCACTCCTAGGTCCCAAAAGGTGTGATGAACACAGCATACCTTAACTACTCACATGGGAGCAATCTGTGACCTTTACTGCATCACACTGGTAGCAATGGCTGATGGAAGCCTCCTCATGCCATTACTGCCTAGCAGGAGGCTTTACGTTCCAGAAATACATTTTGTGCTGAATATGTTGCAAATACAGGGGGAAACAGAGCTTCAGAACTACAGAGAAAGTCTATGGAATTTCATGCAAATAAAATGGACAGGCTATAAATAACTTACATACCTAATAATGCAACCAGCAACAGTATGATGATCATGTAATTGGCATTCTTCTGTTTGTAGTAATACAGCAGAAAACAAAAGGCAAGGATTTCCACCAGCTGAGAAGACAACACCCAAGGCATAAGAGAAGAACAAATGAGATGTAAAGTCCTAAGGCCTTGTTCACATGAAAGTACTTAAGTGTACACCCCCTGTGCAAGGGCAATGTTTACATGGGGATGCACAAAAGTTCCTTGCATCCCCATGAAGACATTCCCATTCATCTTAATTGGGACACAATGGCTTAACGGGACACAGCTGCTGCTCCTAATTTGACAGCTGTGTGGAAGCGGGTTCCCAAACGTACACTGTCTGCATTAAAGGACCCGTACAAAGAAGCATGTGCATGGATGTCAAATTGGGAGCAGAGGCTGTATTTGTGTGGCTGCTGAGTTCCATTTGACATGAATAGAACTGTCTGCACTGGGGATGCATGGAACACCTCAAAGTGAATTGAAAGGTTGGAGTAAAGAAGGAGTAAGTAATCAGTGGGCACTGTTAAAGTCTACCATCCTGGAGGCAACTAGGTTATATGTCAGACAAGTTAGTAAGACTAAATGGAAGAAAAACCCCAATATGGTTCACTAAAGAGGCAAGTAGGACAGTAAAAGGAGAAAAAAAAAAAAAAAAAAAAATCAGCATTTAGAACAATCAAGGAAACAGGAGGTGTAGAGTATAAAAATTTACAAAAAGAGGCCAAACACACTATCAGTGCTGCCAAAGCAAACAGAGGAGAAAATTGCTAATAATATTAAGAAAGGAGATAAAGCTTTTTTTTTTTTTTTCAGGTACATTAGTGATAGAACAAAATAATTTGTACTAACAATAACAGGCTGGGGAATCATATTGGTTCTAGTAATCACAGTTCATTTCTAGGATTTCTGGAGACAGAGGTAGCAGAGGAACTGGCTCGATTACAGCCTAATAAAGCAAAAAGCCCTGATGGTATTTATCCCACAGTTTCAATAGCACTCCCAGGTATAGTGTTTGGACCATTAAACGGATATTTTTAATCAATTTCTTCTAACAGGAGAAGTTCCCCATGACTGGCAGACAATCAACTTTGTAGCTATCCACAAGAAGGGCAACAAGGTAGAAAATGGCAATTACATGTTAGGGAGTTTAACATCAGTTGTAGTAAAGTTGTCAGGTTTCACTATCACTCCTGAAAAGAAGGATCACTGATCACTTAAAAAACACACAACTTGCTGGACCCAAAGCAGCATGGCTTTACTGAGGGCAGATCATGTCAGACTAGTCTGAATTTTTTTTTTACTATATTACCAATATTTTTTAGACCAGGATGGTGCTGTGGACATAGCATATCTTGATTTCAGCAAGGCATATGATACAGTTCCACATAATGATCAAATCCAAAAAAGTTGTACTAGCTAGGACTTAACTTTTGGGTGGTTAGGTGGATATGCAGCTGGCTAAACGATAGAGTGTGGGTGTAAATGGGGTTCACTCAGAACAGAGACCAGTCACTAGTGGTGTACCCCAGGTCTCTGTATTAGGTCCTGTTCTATTTAATCTACCGTATATGTGAGTAAGTGATATAACTAAAGGGTTGTTGGGTAAGATAAGTCTTTTTGCTGATGATACAAAGGTGGGTAATAGGGTTGATGTCCCTGGAGGTGTTTGTAACAAGAAACATGATTTGGAGTTGCTCGAAGACTGGTCAAAGAAGAAGTGGAAACTGCAGTTGAACGTTTCTAAATATAAAATAATGCACCTAGGGAAAAAGAAAACCTTGAGAGAGTACAACATTGGGGGTACTAAGTTCAGATGATTGCAAAATGAGCAAACAGCGTGACCAGGCAGTGGGGAAAGTGAATAGAATTCTAGGATGCATCACTAGAGGGATCAACAACAGGAGGAAGAAGGTCCCGATTCCCATTACAGATCTTTAGTTAGACCTCATTTAGAATACTGTGTTCAGTTCTGGAGACCTCACTTACAAAAAGATATATTGATAAGATAGTCCAAAGACAAGTAACAAAAATGGTGAAAAGTCTAGTGGATAAAACATATCAAAAGCGACTTCGGGATCTTAATATGTACAGTCTGGAGGAAAGAAGGGAAAGGGAAGACATGACTGAAACCTTCAAATACATCAAGGGGGTGAATAAAATTCAGGAGGGCGGTTTTTCAATATGAAACCAAAATCAAGAACACGGGGACATGACCTCAAACTAACTGGAGGAAAGTTCAAAACTAGTCATAGAAAGTATTATTTTACTGAAAGGGTAGTTGATGCTTGGGACAAACAGATCTATACTGAGACAAGAAAAGTTAATGAAATAAAAAAAAAAAAACCACGCAAAGACCTAATGGACCGCTTGGTCTTTTTCTGCCATCACTTTTCTAAGGAGCTTTCATTTTAGATTTCATCTCCAACACTGTAGGTGAAAGCTGCCACTGGGTTGTGGGCCCAGATTTAGTGGTTCTCAAGACCCATTGTACCCAAGCACTTGGTCTTCACATTTTCAGAAGATATAGAATGATAGAACAGAGAAGATCCCTTGTACCTGACTTCCTTGCAGATGAGTGGAGATTGAACATTGCAACATTTGATATATTATAATATTTTAATTCTATTTTAGAAAAAAGTCAGTAAAAATAAACTTACCATGTACAGCAGGAATGGCCAGCTCACTAAATGCTTGACAATATTCTCTCCAGTCATCTTCTCATGGCTATTGGGTCCAAAGGTTATCAGCAAGTATGTGCCAATGACTGCTAGCCCACAGCCTATAAAGGACAAGATATAACGTCCTTGGGAGGGTAGAGAGAGAAGACATACACATATACATCAGAGGAAGCTGGTTAGTTAACATGCAGCTAAATGTTTGTAAGTGGAAAAATCATGTAAAAAAATCATGTAATAAGAAAACCATGATAAAATGACCGATCTATTAAAAGCAACTGAAAGTGTAATGGAAGAGCCAAATTTCAGAGATAAATTCATAAGACTTATAGCGAAAAGATATTTCTTAGAAGAAAAAAAAACTAAAATAAAAAGAATCATTTAAAGGTGTACAATATTGTGCTAGCAGGGTAAGAAAAGTTAAGAAAAGCAAGTATTGAAGAACTAGACTACAATCTCCTAATTCGAAAGAGATTACCTAGCATTAATTTAGCCATCAGTGTCCTAATTACCAAAAACAATGGATTAAAACAACCACAAACTGTCCTGTGTGTAAGAGGTCAAATATGCAGAAATATGACAAAGTGCAAATAATTTTAAAATAGATATTGTTATTATGGCATTAGTATATAGGGAGTTAAAAACTCAAGATAAACTCTTGTATTTCCTGTGTGTTTAAAAATTAGTCATTCCTAATTTTTTTTGTTTTTTTTTAAATTAATCTCAATATCCTCTGGGCAATAACAAAATAACTAGTATTTAGGACAAAGGTGTCAGGCAGATAGAGGTATGCTTACACTCCAGAAAACTGTTTGTCACATCTTAGCATTCTATATCCTACTACTAAAGTATTGCAGGAGAAGGATGAGAAATTGTGTCTGCTCAAACCTTAAAGTAAATATAGAGTTAAGACATTTTTTACCCTAATGCATTCCCTGCATTAAGGAAAAAAAAAAAAATATATGTCACAGTAGTCGTATCAGCCCCCCTCCACCCCCTAATACTTACCTGAGCCCTCTCTTGATCCAGCACTGTGCACTGGTTACACTTTTTATTCTGTCCTCACTCTTCTTATCACCTCCACAATTCTTTTTCCACCTCTTCTTCCTCGCTCTCCTAATCCCATGTTAGATAGCAGTGTGACAGAGTTTGATCCCTTGTGGGTTTTTAATGCTGCCCTGACCCTAGAAGTTAACCTCTCCCACTTCTAGTAATACAGAATCAGCTTGACTTTTCATTCAAGCTATTGATATCACTGGCCCAAACCAGGCATGCCACATCATTTAATGTTTAGTGGAATATATGTAGAACCCACATCATGGTTTTACAAGTAGCTCAGTTTATAGACAAGCTCAGACTATCATACCAGTGGTGGATCTTTCATGAATTTTTCACAGAATCTGTTTTACGAACAGTCACTCTACAGAATTTTTTTGTTTTTTTAAATTGGTTTTGGAATTTATAGGGAAAAATAAAGAATCTTCTGGCCTTTTCGTATTGATCAGCCAACAGAGAATAAACAACAGATGAACACAAAACTGCAAAAAAAATATACTCACTTAAGAATTCCTTTGCTCTCCATTTTTCTTTAATAAATATAATGCCTATGATTGAGCTAGCTGAAGAAAAAAAAAAAAAAGTAAGCACATTTCCTTTTAAAAACCGTAAGCACTAAATACTTGAATACTAAGAACTCTGCTTAATACACTCAAATATTTTATATCTTCAGCATACTGAAAAAAAATTTGCCCATGCCATTGTTGCATTGTTAGCATATTTGATGTTACACAACGTAAAAGGTTAGATTGCTACAGCTGCAGAATTCATTGAAAATGTTAGGTTACATAGATCATAAAAGAAAAAAAAATACAGAGCAGCACTGCAGGGTAAAAGAATGAAGAACAATATGCAAATCTTTACTAATTATTTGCATAGATTCCTAGGATTTACATGTCACATAATGCAGTGTATAAGGCACGGCTAAGAAATGTATTACCTTTTAAATATAAAGTGTGTAGTGAATGTGTCCATATAGCGAAGGACAATGCAGTTTTAGAACAAACTTCCTGAAAATTGTCATGTTTAGGGGGTAAAAGCCATTTCAGACTTCAGTGCTTATTAGCAACAATTTGAGCAGGTCAGTGTAGACGGGGAATAACCAATTATGTGTAACTACTCATACACTGTATGTAACTTATGATTTGTTCTGCCTGTTCCAGTTAAATACTAGACCAAAATTCCAAGCAAACAGCATTACCTAATAGATTAGTAATTCTGTGCAGCCAGGTATGCGATCTAATCACCCCTGACAAAGCTAGATCCTCAACCTCTACAGTTGCAGCAACATTGCATGAGCAAGAACGATCCCTGATGGACTATAAAGTAGCAGCAACACACTGGTAAAGATTACAGCTTCTCTCTCCATCAGCACATGTACACTGCAGAAGAGCTCAATCGTCTTTCAAGTGCTTCCCCTCCTTCTCCCAATCTGAGTACTGAAGTAGGAGGACCACCAGAGACTGATATCAAGTAGATTACTCCAGTTGCATTTTAAAATGCATTTAATAATTTTTCCATGAATACGTAAAATTATATGCTTTAAAATACAGGGTGTCCGTAAAGTTTGGACACATAGGAAATATCACTAATGTTTTTTTCTCAATATGCATTTTGCCTACAGTGGATATAAAAAGTCTACACACCTCTGTTAAAATAGTAGGTTTCTGTGATGTAAAGAAATTAGACAAAAATATAATTGCAGAACTTTTTCCACCTTTAATGTAACCTATAAACTGTACAACTCAGTTGAACAACAAACTGAAATCTTTTAGGTGGAGGGAAGTAAAAATAAAAAACTAAAATAATGTAGTTACGTAAATGTGCACACCCTTAACCCTTGACGCCGACGTAACACAAATATGCGGCCTCACAGAACTGGGGCAGCATGTTTGCGTACCTGTCTTTGTGCTGGGAACACGCTGCATGGCACATTCCCAGCACAAAGACTGGGGTGTCACTGAGAGCCCCGGGTCCCAATTCTGGGTCACATGATCGCTGTGATAGTCTCCGATTGGCTATCACAGTGAAGCCCTGCCCCCCTTGTTTTTTTTTCCTCTGACTGGGGGAGAGAGATGCAATGTATCTCTCTCTCTCTCCTTGCATAGAGAAAAACAAAACCGTTTGTTAAAAAAATCAATAAATATTAAAAAATAAAGAGAAAATACATAGATCAAAGTTTGAACTAGTTCAGTGCCAGAGTTAGTGTTTGGGTCAAAGGTCAGGTTGTCCAAAAAGTTCAACCTTGGTTTCATCAGATTAGAACACATTTTCCCCACATGCTTTTGGGAGACTTCAGATGTGTTTTTTCAAAATTTTGCCAGTCTTAGATGTTTTTCTTGGTAAGAAAAGGCTTTAGTCTTGAAGAATACGGGGGATTGTTGTCACATGTAACCACACAGCCAGTACTTGCCAGATATTCCTGCAGCTTCTTTAACTGCTTCCCGACAGCCCTATAGCAGAAATACTGCTACAGGACAACACGGGTGTGCAAAATCACGTTTATATACGCGATTTTGCATTTCCGAGTAGGGGGCGTGTGCGCGCACCCTACCAGCACCGCAGTTCACGGCCATCAATCACCAGGTCCCAGCCAGTGATTGCCGAGCATCTCTGACAGGGAGGACTGTCCTCCCTGTCAGCTCGTGCACACTGCTTTCGATGGCTGTGCACAGCACAGCAATGCAAAGAAGTGTGCTTACAGTGAAGCACACAGGCACAGCACACATAGTTAACCCTTTGATTGCCCCTCATGTTAACCCCTTCCTGCCCAGTGCCATTAGTATAGGGTTACTGCTTTTTTTTAGCACTAATCACTGTATTGGTGTCATTGGGGATGTCAGTGACACCAAGTCAGTTCCCCCCAGTGTCAGAATGCCTGCCACAGTCCCGCTACAAGTCGTTGATCGCCGCCATTACTAGAAAAAAAATAAATCCAAGTATATATACCGCCATTTGTAAACGCTATAACATTCATGTAAACCAATTAATTTACACGTATTGGGATTTTTGTTTAGCAAAGACATGTAGCAGAACACATTTTGGCCTAAATGACGAAATTTGATTTTTACATTTTTTTTACTGGACATGTTTAATAGCAAAAAGTAAAAAAATATTGTTTTTTTCTCCAATATTGTCAATTTTTTGTTTATAGCGCAAAAAATAATAAAAACACACAGGCGATCAAATATCCCCAAAAGAAAGCTCAATTCGTGGGAAAAAAAGGATGTAAATTTCGCTTGGGTGCAGCGTTGCATGACTGCACAGTTGTCAGTTAAAGTAACGCAGCATTGTAACGCAAAAAAAGCCTGGTCAGGAAGGGGGGTAAATCCTCAGGAGGGCAAGTGGTTAATGTTGCTGTAGGCCTCTTGGTAGCCTCCCAGACCAGTTCTCTTCTCGTCTTTTCATCAATTTTGGAGGGACGTCCAGTTCTTGGTACTGTTACTGTTGCGCCATATTTTCTCCACTTAATGATGACTGTCTTCACTGTGTTCCATGGTATATCTAATGCCTTGGAAATGTTTTTGTACCCTTCTCCTGACTGATACCTTTTAACAATGAGATCCCTCTGATGCTTTGGAAGCTTTCTGCGGACCATTGCTTTTGCTATAGGATGCAACTAAGAAAATGTAATGTCAGGAAAGATCTACTAGAACAGGTGAACTTTATTTGGGGTTAATCAGAGGCACTTTAAATGATGGCAGGTGTGCACCGACTCCTATTTAACATGATTTTAAATGTGATTGCTTAATTCTGAGCACAGCTACATCCCCAGTTATAACAGGGTGTGCAAACTTATGCAAACGCATTCGTTTAGTTTATGTTTACTCCCCCCCCGTTTTTCAATTGAGTTGTACAGTTTATAGGTCACATTAAAAAGGTGGAAAAAGTTCTGAAATTATCATTGTCTCCTTTTTTTAAAATCACAGAAACCTGGCATTTTAACAGGGGTGTGTAGACTTTTTATACCCACTGTGTCCACTTTAGGGACACCCTGTATATTTCTCCATAACTATGTTTTATACCCACAGACAGTAATCTAAATAATTTGAGAAACGCAGAAAAATATTTTAGCCATTTTAATAAGTAAATATATCATATAATAGTGAATAAGTGTTGATAAACCTAACATCCAGAATTAATCAAAAGTCCTCAAAATTGATTAATTCTGGATGTTAGGTTTATCAACACTTATTCACTATTATATGATTTACACATCTTCAGGGGAAGGTGTTGATTGGAGTGTGGGGGAACTATATATAAAAAGTAAATAATTATTTGGGAGGTGGCTGTTATATAATAAGTAAATATACATTTTAATTTCAAAGACTTTTCAGGATGTTGGATTAATTTCATGGTAAACCTGCAATTTGTTTCATGCAAGCAAATACACCGTAATATCCTTTATACTCACCTATGAGAGAAACAGCACTGAGAGGCACAATTAGAGACATTGGAGCAAAGGCATATGAAGAAAACACCCCTGTTTCTCCTAGTATCACCAAAAAGAGACCAAGCCACCATGTCTTTGTCTTGAAGTAGGCACGAGAGTCTTTGTAAGTAGCCAAACGTATATGGCTGTATTTCTATACATGAAAAAATATGGTCATTAGCAATTGCCACCATAATAAGTCTTATAAATGTCAAACCAGGTAATTCATCCACAGTAATAACAGTAATTTTTAGCAAGGCGCAAACTAGATGCATTTCCAACTAACTCAAATTCATTATGTTTCCCATGTCCATGATGCAATATTGAGATTTCTAGATGGACAAAGTGCACATATGCTGAGATGAGGACAATAAGCTATTTACTTATTCTTAAATGACTTGAACAAGCTTTAAAGGTGAGGCATCACTCACATCTAGCTGCTTTTAATGTGATTTTATTCACTACCAAATGTCCTCAAATATCACAACTCTGAAGCTGGTTTTAATCATTCCCTAACAGCTTAGACATTGTTCACATGGGTGGCATAGGCGCTGTGAAAACAGGCTTTTGATCTGCTTTTTTACCACCCCTGGCCACTTTCCCTTGATAAACTAACATTGCCAGTAGATATACTGTATCTGTATTCGATACCATGTGTGAGTTACGGCACATTTTGTACAGCCTATCACTTTTGGTAGGTGGTACTGCCATCAAAAGCACCCTATTCAAGTGAATGGGACCACTCCACAATTGTGTCTAATGTATGCAGTGGCCGTGCAGTGGAGTTTTCCTCCAAAAAGAGGTGTCAAGGAGGTAGCATATTGCTTCCAAGCTGCCTGTAAACCAGCTCTAAAAAGCAATCTATCCCAGATAGTTTTTCGTAGCTGGCAAAAAACAGCTGCCTTAAAACCACCTGCTTTGTGTTTATATTAGAGTGTTGGCAGGCTGCCAATATTCTGTTCTCATAGAAAAAAATTAAGACTTCATTATGAAATTTAAACATTAGTTTTTCAACAATGCCTATAGATACAGAGGTGTATTACTGGCCAGATCACCCAGTGAGGAAAAGAGCCTAAGAAAATAAAACAAGTCAACATCAGAAGAGCTAGGGAGTCCCACAATTCCAGGTTAAGCTGGAGTTACAAGAAGCCTCCCCAATTACACCATGCAGCAATCTATAACATCCAATCAAGATCAGCTTTCAACACTTTACAAATAAAAGCTAATTTCTGACTGGCTGGAATGAGTAACAGCCCATCCTTGAAACTCCATTTAATTTAAAATATCTAAAGTTGTATTAAACCCAAAACAAAAAATGTAAAATATTGCAGCTTACCAATCATTAGATGTGGTGGCTGCATTCATTTTATTTTTTAGGCTTTTTCCCCCCCCTCGGTTTTCACCTGGCGATCTGGTCAGTGACATACCTCTTGTATTTGGTGCCTCCACTCTGGATGATTGAGCACAGGGGGCACAGTGGACAACAGCATTGTCAGTCTGGGGGGAAGGTAGTATTAGTTGTACTAGAAAATTTAGATGCAGTAACAAATTGAAACCAAATTCCAGCTCACACTGCAGTTACAGCAACAGTTTTTTTTTGGGGGGATAAAAGGTCTTTTTGATCTGGCCAGCAACACACCTTCTGTATTATACAGGCACCACTCTGGATGAAGGAGCACAATGGCACCTTTGGAAAGCAACATTGAAGTCTGGGGAAAGGAGATGTTAGATGAACTACCAACAAATTTAAGCCAAACTCCAGCTCACACTTTATAAGCAGTTTAATCAATCAGTTTTGTTCCTTTTGGGATAAAGGTTTTACATGAATAAATAAAAGCTGGTCATTGTAAGCATCCCTGTCAGTGTAAAGGGTTTGTCACAACACTCTAACTGCTACATTAGCATGGGCATTTGTTCAGTTGAAAAGCTACACATTTAATGGCTGGATAGGAAAAAAAAAAGAAATGCAACCAACACATCTAACGATTGGTAGGCTGCAATAAAATAAAATGTTTGCTTTTGGGTTTAATGTTGCTTTAAGCAGCTGAACAAAAACTGGATCACAAGGTTCCAGGAGGTAGAGTAAAAAAAAAGTAAGTTCAAAAAACGAATTCATATTCTTTGCTAGGAATAACTGGCGTTTTTCTGTTTGCTCTAGCCACACTTTTAACTTGACAATTTTGAATAATTTCTTACCTGTAGGTTGAGTGCAATACTGATAACAAGATGTCCAAATATGGCCAACAGAGATCCAATAAGGTTGTCCTGAAAATACCATATGTTGTGAATTAGTGCATAGCGTATTACCAAGTTTTATTATTGTTAAACAGCATCACCAATGAAGCCACAATATACACTGCTGTGAAATTAAATTTGTCACCAATAGCAGTTCTGTTCTCAATAGCTTGAGTAGTTTGCTTTGTTGTAAACAATATTACAGTAAGCAGACACTGCATTATTTTATGAACACCTGGCCTACAATCAACCAACTCATTAAGTATAACCTTCTTTCTCCCCTTCAGTCTAGATTTCGCCCTCAACACTCCTCAGAAACAGCTCTCCTATATAACTCACAAACTATTTACTAACAGCTACTAAAAATGGAAACTATTCTATACTCGTACTTCTGGACCTTTCAGCTGCCTTTGATACGGTTGACCACCCCCTCCTCAAAAAAAAAAAAAAAACAACAACAAAAAAAAAAAACACTTTACTCCTTTGGTCTCTGTGATTGTGCTTTTTGTTGGTTCTCATCCTACCTACCCCACCACACCTTCAGTGTTCCTTACAATTCTATTTCCTCCTCTCCTCTTCCTTTGTCCGTTGGGGTCCCCCAAGGTTCTGTTCTTGGACCTCTCCTATTCTCTATCTGCACCTCCTCCCTGGGTCAGCTGATAGGCTCCCATGGCTTTCAATATCATTTGTACGCGGATAACACCCAAATCTATCTCTCTACCCCTCAGCTCACAACATCCTCTCCTCACGCATCACTAACTTACTGACAGACATATCAGTCTGGATGTCACACCAATTCCTCAAACTCAATCTATCCAAAAATGAGCTCTTAATATTACCTCCCCCAAGTGCCCCTTCCCCTGACTTCTTTGTCAAGATCAATGGCACAAGCATCAACCTCCATTCAACACCCCCACATGCCAGGGTGCTAGGTGTAATCCTGGACTCAGAACTTTCCTTTCGGCCCCATACCAAATCACTATCCAAAGCTTGCTGTCTCACTCTTCGTAACATCTCCAAAAATAGCCCTTTCCCAACCAATGACACCACAAAGCTCCTAATTCACTCCTAGGTTATCTCTTGCCTCAACTACTGCAACTTTCCTCTTTGGCTTACCTTTACATAGGCTATCCCCCCTCCAGTCCAATATGAATGCTGCTGCCAGGCTCATCCAACTTATCACCCGTTTAGTGTCTGCCACCTCTCTCTGCCAATACCTGCATTGGCTGGCACTCACCCAACAAATTAAATTCAAACTACTAACGACAACTTGAAAGGCCATCCACAGGACCCCAGCTACATCACTAACCAAGTCTCAAAATACCAACCAAAATCGGTCTCTTCATTCTTCCCAAGACCTCCTGCTCTCTAGTTCCCTTGTCACTTCCACTAGTGCTCACCTCCAGGACTTCTCCCGAGCCTCTTCCATTCTATGGAATTCCCTACCCCAATCTGTCTGACTATCCTGTACTCTGTCAAATTTTAGGCGATCCCTGAAAACTTTTCAGAAAAACCTATCCTGTCTCAACAGTGGGGTTCCCCACTGACAGCTGAATGTAAGAGAATTGCCGGCAATTAAAAAAATGTAAAAAACGGCATGGGGTTCACCCTGCCATCCATACCAAGCCCTTCGGGTCTGGTATGGATTTTGAGGGGAACTCCCACGCCAAAGTTAAAAAAAAAAAAAAAAAAAAAAAAAAGCATTGGGGTCCCTCCCAAAATCAAAACCAGACCCTTAACTGAGCATGCAGCCCGGCAGGTCGGAAGTGGAGGGCATCGTGATTGACCTGCCGGTCTGCATGCTCAGAAAAGGGTCTGGTATAGATTTTGAAAGGGACACCCATGCCTTTTTTTTTTTTAAACATTTTGGCGTGGGAGTTCCCTTCAAAATCCATACCAGACCCAAAGGACTTGGTATGGATGAGAGGGGGGACCCCACACCGTTGTTTCATATATTATGGTGCTGGTTTTTAAATTTAATTACTGTTTTTTTTTTTTTTCACTATAGCTCAGAAATTCAACGGTCACTTTCCCCCCCAGCTAAAAGAGAGAAAGTTTCCTTTTAGTTTATTTCCTGGAGTTAAAAGAAACAAAAGTTTCCTTTTAGTTTCTTAAAAGAAACAGTTTTCTGTAACTCCGGGGAAAGTGGCAGCAAATCTTGTGAGCTATAGTGAAGAAAAAAAGCCAGTAATTGCATTTAAAAATCAGCACTGGCATACACTTCGTATTGCAAAAAAAAAAAAAAACTGTAAAAAAAGTGTAAACCGAGGCATTATTTTCAATGGATTTTCATTGGTAAACCGAAAATTACGTTAACCGAGACATTCGTAAAACGAGATACCACTGTACTATGTTATTTTTTAGTGTGCAAACAGCAGTGCACATTACCTCAACTGATGTTGAGTGCTTGTTCAAAACAAACTGAAGTGATGGGGCAAAGCAGAGGCTCAGGACCTCATGAAAGATGTTACAAGGAGGCAGGGAAACACAGTAAGAAATAAGTTAATGAAAAATAGATTAGAGGGTCATTAGGTAGTGGATGTGTATGAACTATTTTTGGAGAATAAGGATTTTGACATTTATTTTTATACTGCACTGTACTACGATCACAAGTCTTCTCCAGATAGCTGTATGTTTTGTCTTGAACTCCATTATGATCATGCTGAAGCAAATAACACATATGTGGATTACAAACATTTATACGTCCACATAAATTTTGTCTTTAAAGCAGAACTCAAGGCAAAAAACTTCTTTACATGTCCTTGTTGCTGATCTCCAACCTTCACTGAATATTAGGGATGCACCGATACAGATACCGTCTAGCCTGTACAGTCATCCCTGCACTTAGAGAGAAAGTCGCAGGGATTTCAAATCCCCAGCTTTTACTTCTGTGACAGCATGGGTTTGGTGCAGGGAGGTTTCCAGCACCGCTCCTGTGTAAACTCAGACTATGACAACAGTGGGTTCACACAGGAGCAGTAGGGAAACTGCATGCGATTTGGATAGAAGTCGCACTCCTGTTCAAATCGTGCTACTCTTTGCTGATAGTACCCAAAGTTGACGATCAAAAAAGGGTATTGGTGCATCCCTACTGAATATGTCATCCATCTTCTATTTCACTCAGTAATTTCTCTATTCATTTTCAAATCAAACCGCTAATCCTCTTTGGTTTCCTGTTTGTAAGACCTGAGGCTGCTATGCCTCCTTTTCCCGCAGCACTGGTCTTGGCCCTTCTGTAGTTCTTTCTCCAGATAGCAGTTATGTAATTCAGCCCCACCTGCAGTGGTGGGTGGACCAAGACTCACAGACACATTCCACATGCACAGGCCTAGTGTACCCACCCACATTCACTACAATTCCCCCATGGTTGATGGGAACTGTAGTTTCCGTATACTACAGAGAGAGAGGAGAGGATATGATGTAATCTCTGCTGTTACACTTCTTCCTTGACAGAGCAGATGCTGTTATCTTTTGAATTACAGAGATGAGGTCATGAAAATTCAGTTAGACGTTTGTCCTAAATGGCAAGGGTTTTCAAAATGTTATTAACTGTATAGTGTAGGGGGGTGTACAAATGGGGGATTTTTTTTTCCTATCCCAGAGTTATTCTTTAAATAAAATTAAGTACAATCAATTTAAATGAAAAATTGTCATGAGAGAAACATGGAGGATGCCACTGCTGAGCGCTCTTCAAGCAACCCAGTGTTACCATATGTACTGTATGTTGGATTAGCTGAAAATATATTAGTACCTTGTAGGAAAAATAACTGTCTCCAGGCATTAGGGGAGTGGTGGCTACCAGTTTCTCTATCTGCACCGCGGGAATGGCTGTTTTCTCCATTTTTCTTTCAGTTTGTGATATTTCTACAGCATCCTCAAATCCAGTCTTAAAACATGATCACCAGCTCTCATACACAGAAAAGACTCCTGCTTTGTCATTATAAACGTCTCTTCATCTGCGGCAATATACAGTTAAAGTAGTGTCCCGGCCTAAAATATGAAAAGACAAGAGAAACACATTAAGGGTACATTACAACTTCACATGAACATATTGTCATGAATACAGCCAAAATGATCATTCAGTGCAAATACCTTTTCATAATCAATAACTGGAAAAAAATCAGCACTTTAAAGCTAATTACAAAGACTAGGGACTGTTGCATAAACATGCATGCGCAAATTGTTCTAAACATCCATGTTTATGTGAAGACTACGACTTTGCAGACACACCCAGAACCTGCTTTATCTCAGGGGGGAAACAAAAGCAAATCGGCCAAAGAAGAAAAACTCGATAAACAAATATTTTGGTCAGCCAGTGGTGTCCACTGAACCCAAACTGGTCTTTTCCTACAGAAGCAGAATTTGGGCAGTCTGCCAACCTTATACTGTAAGCCCTGGTTCACACATTTGCGGCCTCGCGGGCCGCGTTTTGCATGGGCACGAGAGCTCATTGATGTCTATTGAGAAGCAGCGGCTGCTTGGACACAGCCTCTGCTTCCATTATGACATTTGTGTCCCTGAACGCATACGGTTTACGTTCGGGGACATGCACCCGCACAGATTTCACATTGGAAGCACTGGCTGTGTCTGTGCAGCCACTGTGTCCCAATAAACAATGGAAATTTCTGCACGGGGATCTTGTGCGGGTAAATATGGTCCTCGCATAGGTATACGCATTGATATGCCCCATGTGAATGAGCCTTTACAAGTCTAATGAAACCTGACCCACTGGGTTAATTATTTTTCAGTCACTGACTTGCATATCAGTCAGATGTCCTATTTTACATACTTTTTCCATGTAAATTACGAAGTAATGAAACAAAGGGGTAAAAATAAGAGCCAGGGAACTAGATTTTGCAAAAAAAAAGTAGCAAGTGCAGGCTTCACATTTTCCTTAAATATTAACACAAATTTGTCCACTCACATAAACTTGTGAGCACACAAACAATAGACTGGCAGGGCCATAGGTGCCACAAGTGAAAGGAGAATAAAAGCATCAAGAGCTGGATTATTTTAATGTGGTTCTAAAGCCAAGA